AACATCATGGAACACACACGCACAAAACAAGTTAAGTGAATAACAAGATTGAGTTGTACCGAATTTTGGATGGAGTCCCCTTAGGTGAATTCAAAGTTGAATAAGAAATGAGTTGTTAAATAAAGGAATAGAGGAAATTAAAATTTTCTTTTCTGATATTATATGTCGCATCACCTGAGGACATATGCGACATATAATGATTCAAGTTTGGGGGTGTGATAACTCAAAATTTGTGAGTTATTACAAAGTTTAGTATTTGAATTTATCCTTTTGTTTTAAATATTTAATAGCTTAATTTATTGCAAATTGTTGTTTTAGAGTAGTTTATAAGGAGTACAATAGGTACTCTCTGATCCGCTGTTGCACACGAGTCAAAACGAGTTACAAAAACGTAGTATAAAGGAAGCGACACTTGAGTCATATCGCAAGGACTCTTGCTAATTTTAACCGACCGACTGAAATAGGGGGGTTTAAGGTTCAGACTTAAATCACATGTAAACGAATTGAAAGAAAATATGATGAACAAGTTAATCTACTCTTCAGCTCCGACTTATCATCGATTATTATAATTCCAAAGCCCTAAGTGGATTTAATTCCCTTTTCTATTACAACAAAAATCAACAAGCGTAGTTGATACTATATGTTATATGTTCCTAATTTCCGATTTAAGCAAACAGATAAAGCATGCGTGAATTAAGCAAACACAAGTTAATCAAACTCGAATTTGCGAAAAAGCTACGCTAACACGATTACGGTAAAGAATATACACCAATTGAGATTAATAAATTATATTCTATAAGCAGCAATCGAATTCATAGACACAATTGAAACGAAATTGAAATTGAATTGGAAATTATAAAAACCTCAAAGTATCGGTGGAAACTCGAACAAAAAAATCAATCGTAGGTGATTAGTTCTCCATAGAATTTGTAAGTCATCTTTCTAATTTCGCGAATATTGAATACTGAATAATCAATCCTAATGCTGAAGTTTGTTTAAATGGAACAAGGGAAATTGGGCCCTAATAGCAACCGACCCATAAAACATAAAAATAGGCCCAAAACTAATTATTTTCTTTAGTCTGTTATGAAAATGAATTATTTGACTCTTCAACATTCCGAATTTTCTTCTGACTTCAACATAAAACTTGTAGCTTATCCTTTTATATTTCTAACTTATATTAGAATGCGTAAAACGACATCTGATCGGTCACCAATTCTACTAGTTTTCATTCATCTATTAGGCATGAATCTGTGAAAATCGGCAACACTTTGGCTCTTTTGTCTATTGTTTTTGAAGATTTTTTACTTTTCCAATTTTCCTTTCTCGCAGTATTTTTAGTATAAATTTATATATTTTTGTTTCATTTGATTTGTTTTCTCGGTAGTGGTTTATGTTGTCAAATTCAGGCAAAGAGCCCCATGGTCTTGCGCGAGGAAAATGGGAGTCCCGATGTTGAGAAGAAGTATTTTAGAGACTACAGGGGTCCTGACACGGCCACTCCTGTCACCTGACACGGGTCGTGTCAAGAGAGGATGCATAACTTGCAGTCTGAGTGAAGAGACAGAGGTTGACACGGGTGCCCGTGTCACATGACACGACATGTGTCAAAACGCTTGTATGTAGCGTGCCAGGAAGCATGAGACAGAAGCTGACACGGGTTCTCGTGTGACACGACATGACCTGTGTCAAAACATATGTATGTGAACGTGCCAAGAAGTGAGAAGCAGAGGATGACATTGGTGCCTGTGTCGCATGACACGGCCCGTGTCGGTCAAAATGCTAAGATGTCTGATTTTTGGAATTTTAAGTGGATTGGAGCATCAAGGGTATTTGGGACATTTCAGCATAGCTAAGGAATGACCTAACAATATTTAGACATGTTTCAGAGAAGAAAATGAGAACTTTTTAGAATGATTGAAGAATTACACGCTGAAGGAGTGAGTTTGAAGAGTTTTGGAGACATAGAATCTTTCAAGGGCGGGAAGCAATTGAAGATCTACAGATCCAACCTTTTTGTAATGTCAAACTCTATTATTATCATTGTTGTTCTTTTGAATTCTATGAGAGGATAAACCCCCCAATGCTATGGGGTGTCCGTGATTTGTCATTGCAATGATACTGATCTCTTTGTTTTATCAACATATCAATTATTTTTCATCAATTTAACTGTTTCAGATTATAATATCGTTTTGCCCTGTCAAATCAGTAGGGTTTACTTTTCTTAACACAGTAGAACTAGACAGTCGTGTTAGAGTTTTCTGAAATAATTATATTGTAGAAGATTGCACCTAGGACTAGGATAATCCTATAATAACCAGATAAATTCTTGATAATCATATGCTTGACTTCTTCACTAATTTGAATGAATATTGAAATTAGGGCAGAAGGATAAAGGTTTTTCACTAAGGACTTAGGAAAGAATAATCTTAAGAATTAGTAGTTGAGGTTAATGAAATTGTTAAAAATATCAAGAGTGAAAGTCATCAGGTGGAAAATCATACACTTACCCCTAGCATGTTGCTCATTATTATAAAAGTCATAATTTACTTTCTGCTCAATAATAACATTGTTAAAGTTTAAATCCAAAATCTAAACCCACCATATTATTTTTGTTTAATTTAACCACGTATTCAACTAGGTAGTCATACACAGTCCTCAAGATCGATATCTTGGGAAATTCCCACTATTACTACATCACGAAAATAATACACTTGCTATTTTTCCAATTAAGTTTTTGGCGCCGTTGTCGGAGACTGCCAAAACAGAGTTAATTTTGGTTCAATTGAAATTT